TAATACAAATTTTGTATCAATGTACAAAATCCATACCAATGTAAAATATTTGAGACTAGTAGTTGCTTTTTTAGTTTGAAAGTAAATTCAATAACATAGCCTTTTATCATATTATTTCTGTATTCCCCCTTTTCTTTTCAGAATGAGATCCCTGAATCTAATCTCCTTTGTTTAGTTTTCTCCCTCACTGTGAATAGTAATAATTGGTTACCAACCCCCTAAAGGATGGCAAACATCCATAACCCATTGAATGACCAAAAGCTACCCACCCCACTCTTGGAGAATGTGGGCATTATATTCTCTAGACTGCTTCTTGTTGTTTGGGGGTGATTGCATCTTTGGGGAACCCTGAGAAAACTGAGATAATGGTCACGTCCTAGAAAAATTACCCATAACAGTTCTTGTCTAGTCTCTGTACAATGGGAAAGCACAAGGCTTCTCTGTAGTCTTGGCTGGAATAGTCTGTGAGTCTGAACCATCTCAGCTGGCAATCTTGAAGCTGTTCTGGATGCAGAACTCTGAGGAAACTGCAACAGAGGCATTCTGAGAGACTGGATCATCTGGTCCACCAGTTTTCTTGCTATCTGTTCCCCTTGCTTTGAAAACAATCAAACTTTCAAATCTAACATACATATTTACATTAACACAAGTATCGACTGTGTGTTATACACAGGCCAGCCAAAGATGATTTTTTTTGTTATTTTATGTTTGAGCAGGTAAAATGTATGTTATCTGTCTTATAATTTTTATAGATTTATTTCTTTATTTCTATAGCCAAGATTTTCAGGGAATCTCCCCCAATCAAACTTTATCCTCTTTAGCCTTGAATGAATCCACAGTCTTTTGTTTTCTGTGGAAACAAAAGAACAACCTCTTCCCCAAAGCAATACATTTTCTGAGTTCCATTTTAAAGTTAAGGCATTCCTAAAGTATCTATAATGGTTTAATTCTGCTGGAATAATTCACAATCCAGTGTCTCTCAGCAGCTGTCATTCTCTGTTTGTTAGCATTCAAAAAATTCAAAATTAACAAAACACAATATCAGGTCCAAACTCCCTGTGTTATAATATTTTCCATCCTTATGGCTTATTTTATATTAATTTATTTTCTTTTTTAAAATTTTTAAGCGATTTATTTTTTCTATGACTGTCTATGCCCATTTTCTTTCTTCTACATCTAAGAAATCTTCTACATAAATCTTCTACATTTAAACAAATTGTACCTTTTTAGAGGTTTCTGTGTCTGTACCTAGACTTACTAAGCATCTGCAGCATTCTCTGACCATGTGAGACTAACCCTAAACTGCCATGTCAGCTGCCACATGCCTCAACTTAGCGCATGATGCAGGCACATGGCTCCAGCAGCTGGCTCCAGCCCACAGGCAGCGGCCAGTAGCTGTGTACAGAGCCATGTTTGACTCCATGCTCTTAACTTTTTTTTAAAGCTTTTTTCAGGACTTATGTGAATATTCAGGGTTGGATGTTGGGCACCTTATATAGTAGGCTTTCTTGGACCACTAGCCCCCAAATCATTATATAAAGACTTATTAATTATGAAAGCTCAGCATATACTTTAGGCTTGTTTCTAACTATCTTTTATAGCTTAAATTAACCCCTGTGTTTTTAATCTATGTTCTTCTACGAGGCTTGGTTGCATTCATTCTGCACTACCCACTCTGCTTCTTCTGTGTGTGACTGGCAACTCCACCTTTTTTCCATGAGACCTCTCTGCCCCCTGAAGTTCCACCTCACCTCTTTCTGCCTAGGTTTGGGCTATTCAGTTCTTTATTAAACCAATCACAGTGGTGCATTCTCACAGTGTAAAGGTATATTTCTCAACAGAGAATTATTTTAATGTATCTGTGTTGGCGACTTACTTTCTAACTGAGAATGGAAACTACACAACCCTCCTAACCACATTTCCCCTCCCCCGTGTTTTATTTCCTCCTTCCTTAGAATTTCCTTCTTCCTTTCTTGGTCCTCTTAACTCCCATCCCCCATCCTAAACATTGAGACCCCCAAGCCCTTTCCTGAAGGCAGAGGAAATGACTTCAGCAATGGAACTTGAGACATTGCCATTTCCAACTATGGATAAAGACAGTTTTGTTCGAAGACTCTGCAAGGAAATGTCAAGACTCATGATCAGTTACTGGGATAGAGTATAAATATGTAGAATACAATTAAATCCCAAATATTTACTAATACCTTCTATACTACTCATACATTTTGTATTTGTTGAGATGGATAGTTGTCCCGTCTTTGGACTATGTCCACTCTTAGACTATGTGAGCATTCGAGCTTTAACCTTGTTATTGTTTTAAGTGTTCTGTTTGTGCCATCATGGATGTTTCCACATACAACACATTTGTTGGTGCTGTTTTTGGTTACTTTAGAGCCCAGGCTGACCTCAGACTCATAGTTCTCTTCCCCAAGTGCTCAGTGCCTCGTTCTTGATTATGTTTATATTTACAAACAATTTAAAAGCATGTTAGAAAGTCAAAGTCCTATACAGTTTCATTATACTTATTCCTCATCCCAGTGAAGAGTCTAGTGTTTGTTTTTCCATATTCCCATAATTACCATCTTCCCTTCTTATACACAGAAACATTGCTTTTATGTGTTGCTAGGAACAGAACAAGGTCTAGTACATCCTGTGCAACTGCTCTGTCACCAAGCTGCATCCCCAGTCCCATGTGCATCGTTTCAAGTTTCATCTCTTTATGTCCTTGGGCTGCTGTGGCAGTCTCGTTTCCTGGCCACGGGAGAGCATAGTCTTGTTTATTGGCAAAACCGTCACACTTTATCTGGTATCAAACCATGACTGGCAACATTTTTGTTAAGAAGCTTGGGTGCTGGAGTCTTGGGCATACTTTTCTAGATGATTATTGAAATGTTTGTAAAAAGTTTAAGTAGTCATGTGTAGATTTCTAAAATCCATCCCTTTCCAAAGGGTTAACCCATGTGAATTATATGAGCTTGTCTTGAGATTTTACTTGTTTTTAAAATTAGGCAACCCAAGATTTATATTTTATTCAATTCCCCTAAATGTTGAATCGGTTTTCTTAATAATCTGGAATCCCTCAATATATTTGTTATTGTTTTAACCACTTGTCACGTATTGTATTTTTTTGGCATGTCTTTTAACCACATCCTTGCTAAAATATCTTGATTAGCATATTTTAAAAGTAGAATCATAACACACTATGACAGTTGGGGACTTGGAGATCCTGTTGGCATCTTGAGAAGTTTGCCTGTGAAGACTTTCCCAAGGATAATTGACAATGACTGTCAACAAACTTCAGGTTCAGAAAGTCTTATCTGACATGATTGCTGGGAATTGAACTTGGTTACTCTGGAAGAACAGTGAATGCTCTTAATTGCTGAGCCTCTCTCATGGTCACATTTTCTTGTGGTTACCATTCTCTTTGCACATCTTTACTTCCTTGCATTCAAAGCCTCGGCAACCAAACCTAGTTTGGAACTAGCTGTCAATCTCCAGAATCCATAGGTAGGCAGTGAAGTGTTTTCAGTAGAAAATAGGAAGAGTAGAATCCTAGCAGCTATGCCTTGCTGTCAATTCCAACCCATCCTGCAATGTTGCCTCTCAGGACTGAGGACTGTGGAACATCCTTCATGAGTATTGTCCCTGAAGACTAGGGCCGTCTCTGAGTTTTTGCCTTCAGGTCTCTAGTGGAGATGTTTTATTAGAGTAAGGGCGAGAACAAACTCTCATAAAATATTTCCATTAAATATTCAGGTTACATCCTTCCTGTTGCATCTCTCTGTGTGTTTATATGTGTGAAATTAATCTTAGTTTAGAAAATGCTGATGATAGTTGAAGTTCTTTGATTTGGTTTTAAATTTATTAATTATATTTTAGCATCTTCTTACTTGGAAAACACCAAGTAGCAAATTGCTGGATGGACCTCTTTGAAGTGTTGCTGTCTTTGAAATCTGAAATAACTATTATAGAACTAGCTGTGAGTTTGGCTGTGGACCCTGGGCCTTCTGGAAATCATGTCTTTTTGGTTATGTCAGGAACTTTATGGTTTACTCATATATGCATGAGTCCTGTGATGTTAACTGTATTTTGCCACCAGCAATGCCTAGCAGAGGTACTGGATTAGCAAGTGTCTTCAGCTCTCTTCAGTGGTTTACCCTGATTCACAGTTTCCACAAGGTCAAGATGAAATGACCAGGGTTTTTTTTTTAGGGTGTTTATACTTCCAGTTTTCAAAGAACTCTACTTTCAAAGTCATACAGTCCAATATTCTTCTAGAACTTAGGATATAATTTCTTTCCTGTAATAGAAGCAGATTGGACTAAGAGACATCAATTTTTTCTTTGGTCAATTTAGGTTCTATTAGTAGTTATATGTTCTTTCAAAAAAAGGTTTTAAAGGCATGTGTTTAACCTGCATTTCTATTAAATCCATGACCCAGGTGTAGGATAAGCATACTACCTCAGAAATTCAGCGGGAAGGTCAGGAGCAAAGGCCAGCATTTGCTGTATAGCAAGTTCCACCTGGGCCATGGGAGACTGTGACTCAATTAATTAATTAAAAGATAGATCTGTGGTCTATTTTTTTGGCTAGGACAAAGATTTGAAGACTGTGACAGCTAATGAGGAGGCTGCTGCATCTGCAATTTTTGTGTCACCAATTCGAAAGGTGTTCTTTGTTTCCTTCTACACAGTATGATATCCCCACAGATGGCTTGAGTCTTCTGTTTCTTCCATAAAGAATGGTTACATTTAAATATGGCCATGGTGTCCTCATGTGCCTGACACTGACATTTTTATGTGGAGCTTTCAATAGCTGTTATGATGTAGACAAATGACCCCATGAGGATCCACCATCCACAGCTATTAGGTACATTGGAATTGTGATAAGATTGTTTACTGGCAGATTTGTTATTTTCTGTAGGCATCAAGAAAAGAAGTCACGAAACAGTGCATACCCATTTGAGAGGAAGTTAACTTTTCCTAAAAATTCTTTTCCAGCGAAGGAGTCCCATCCCCCAGAGTGGAGCTGCTGCATAACATTGACCGGGACTTCTTTGACAGTTCACCGTGTGAGTACCCAGCCACCGCTGCTGCGTTAAATGCTCTTCCGTGTTTTAGTAGATCCTCGTGCGCTAGCCTAGCGCTCTCCACCACCAGAGTTACTGTTGGTCTCAACCTCTCTTCCTGACACTTGTTCTGGTGATCTCGCAGTGGCTTCAGTGTTCTGGGAAGTTAGTAAGTTCTGCCTCTGCCATTTGCTGGCTGTATGTAGCAGGAGCTCAAAGGAGCCCCGAGTTCCCTTTCCACCACCAATATCGTATCATTGCCTGTGTCGCCTAAGAGTTCCAGAACCTTTTTACAGAAAACTCACCGTCAAAAATGCCACAGTCCATCTCTGGGGTTGTGTCCTTCACAGCCTCTGATAGGGTTGGCCAGATGCTGCACAGAACCTGCAGAATCTCACAGGTGTGAGTTTCCTAACTGTCCTGGGGGTCATTCAGGTCATCGCGCCTGCTGCATGCCGGAGCCTTGTCAGTTCCTCAGGGGGTGTTGTCACATTCACTGCACTGGTGTGGGGGCCATGCCACCCCCTTCCCAGATATTGGACTGCCACACTGGTGTGGGGGCCATGCCACCCCCTTCCCAGACATTGGACTGCCACACTGGTGTGGGGGCCATGCCACCCCCTTCCCAGACATTGGACTGCCACACTGGTGTGGGGGCCATGCCACCTCCTTCCCAGACATTGGACTGCCACGACCAACTCTCTTTACTTCTTCATCCTTTCCATGTGACCACAAGAGCCCGCCCCTTACACATTCCTGCTCAGAGGGTTAACCTGATGACATCACTGAGCACCCAGCACCCTCTCACCTGGCCTCATCATGCTGTTGCCCAGCATTACCTGTCCTGCTCGCCATTTCAAAGCCCATCGTGAATTATATCGTCCCAAAACTCAATACATGTTACCTGCCTCTCTGTAGTCTCCAGAGCATTCCAGCGGCCCCATGACACACAGTTGTTCCTTCCTCAGTGTTTCTTAGTGGCTCTACATAGCATCAGACACATAGTCTGATTGGGCATATGGTTTTCTCTGATGTGAAGGGTCTGGGTGGCAAGATCTAGGACTTGTTTGTATTTTGGCCCTCATCAGTTAACCCAAATGCTCAGTACCTTGATCAGCATTCACTAATCATTACTTGATCACAGAGTGGACAACTGTGAAAGGGATTAGATGCAATTAAAAATGTGAAATTTCCAGGAGAGTGGGTGAATCTGGAAATTATGATATTAAGCAAGCGAACATGTTCTCTTCCATGAGCAACTCTTAGCTGTTACTGTTTAGACAGATGAATGCATGTGAGTGTAGGTATAGTCATGCAACTGGAAAGAGGACCATGCAAGGGGAAAGAGGGGCTTTAGAAAGGGCATCCGGTGATGGGGGAATAGGAGGATGGATAGGAAAAACAAATTATGTTTGAAAATGCCGTATGAAATCTAATACTATGTTAATTTTTAAAAGCTAAACACCACCAGACCCAGGTGGATGCATTCAATCTAGAAAAGGAAAGTGTTCTAAGAACAGGCAAGAAATGTCTCTTCTAGAGTAAAATTACATTAATGGTAGGGGCAAGACTATGGGTTAGTCCCTGAGGACAGCCCAAATAGTCTAGATTTGTGCTTTCCACTCTGGTAGCCACTAGCTCCATGTGGCTACTGAGCACTTGAAATGTAGCTAATTATGGATTGAGAGATCAGCTCTAAGTATAAAATATGATATGTATCAGGCTTTGAAGGCTAGGTATACATATGGTGCATATATGTTGTGATGACAGTATTTCGAATATGTTAAGTTGAATGTATACATATGATGTATACATGTTGGAATGCTATGAAATGACAGTCCTTTGAGTATGTTCAGTTGAATATACTATTAATACTTCCTCTGTTTCTTTTTCCTTTTATAAAGTGTGACTGATGGAAACCTTAGCATTATATATGTGGTTTGCATTACATTTCTGTTGGTCTACAAGTGCTATTCTGGAAGGTGCTAGAAAATAAGTTTATCCACTTCACAGAGGATCAGAGACCTGCTTCTAAGGTTTTCATTTCTATCCATTCACGTGTGACTGTGCCTGAGGCAACATTGCTGTTTATGAACAGGTGCTCCCTCGCAGCGTGCTCCTTAACCATCCTCCCCTGAAGGCTACAAGGTGACTTTCCCTGTCCCTGCACACCTAAGAGACTTGGCCTATTCCAGGAATACCAGAATCTCCTGGGGTGTCTGGAGAGCAGAGCGAATGCAGGAGTAGATTTAAAAACTTCTCATAGAGTCCTGGTCCAGGGCAGCTGGAATATGCTTCCCACATAATGGCTGTGGACTGTTTCCATTTGCTAAATCCTCATACCAGATAGGTAGATAGATAGATAGATAGATAGATAGATAGATAGATAGATAGATAGAT